ACTTTTGTGATAATGATGCTGCTAAAGCTGTTCCATGCCTATTGGCCGAATACCCCAAGCTTGTACTTGACCCTATAAAACCTCATGCGCACGTCTTGGAGGTGCTCTTAGCTTCGGAGCAGAAGCCCCTCTGAGACCGCTGGCATGATACATCTGAGTACTCCAACCCTCTGAGTGGTGCTTGTTTCTTGGCTGGCCTGGCGTTTCCGTAACAATGCCAATGAACTATATACACTTAAAGTGGTAAAAATGGTAAATTTTAGATTGTTTACCACAATAATTAGCTTAAAAAAAAAACTTTTTGCCCCATTCCTTTAAATGCCAAACCTTGAACATAGCTGTTTTGAACGAAAAAGGTCTCCAACATATGACACCTGCTGCCCCAGTTTTCTTAAACAGAGCATGCCAGTCATAACCTGAACATCTCCTGAGAGTCAGCGTCATCAGCTAGAATGAAATGCAGCCAGACCTCGAAGGTCATCAGCCCAAAATTGGTTCAATAAGTTACCAAACCTAGTCACGCTGCTTGGCTGTCTACGGCTTTTGTCTGTTTTCCACGGTTTCCTTCCTAGTTTCCTGCATCCGTCAAGTCAGCATTTCCTTTCAAATTTGTTGTTTTATTTTTGAAACCTACTTACTGTCAGCAGACAGAGCAGAGAAGCAACTGTGTTCAAATGAGGTGCAAGGTGGGAATGCGCAGCTCCTCAGAAAGAAGGGGTCTTCCCCGCCGCTCCGTACCTACCGATGCCACTTCTGACTACCCTCGCCTTCTAGGGGTTTCACAAACATTTCAGACTCGAAACCAGAAGAATGCCCTTCCCCCTCAAGCTTACTCCTTCTCCAGTGCTCCCCAGCTCGGTCGTCTCTGTGGTCATCACAGCTCCACACTCGAGAAGTGAACACTGATCACCGCGCACAGTTCTGCCACGTCCAATTGATTCTCTTGATCGCGTCCCACTTCTGAACCTCCGAGTCAGGACCTCAAAACTATTGCAATAGCTCAACTGGTCGTCCAGCCTATAACCTTGCCTCCTTGTACCTCATAGCTACAAACTACACTCCTTCCTTGTTATTGAGACTGGACTTTTCTTTCAAAAGCATACAGTCTTGGGATCGGCATCCGCAGATTCAACCAACCCGGGACGGTAAGTAACCGATCCGCGGCTGGTTGAATCTGCAGACTGGAACCGCGAATAGCAAGCCGCGGATATGGGGAGGCCAACTACAGAACTTGAGCATGCGCGGATTTGGGTATCCGCCGCCCACCGCCCACCACCCAGACTGAACGAGGACTTTATCTCTCAGGTTGTCCCATGCCTACAAAGCATTGATGATCCTCATTGCAATAGGGGGTGAGTCCAAATTCATTTCACATTCTGACCCCTACTTGTCCAGCTTTCCTTATCTCCAACTCTCTGCTCCCCGCAACCCTTAGATAATATTCAATAGTCGTTTTTCATGACTCCAGTTCTCCATGTGCACACATACCTCCAAATTCTTACAAATACTTTTCATTCTTTGTAGTATGTCTTTATGAAATTGCGCACTCCTCAGTCCAAATTCAAATATCACCTTGGTTGATCCCACACTAACCTCTACCCCAAACTCTCTCTGCTCTAAATTAATCACTCCCTCCTCAGGACATCCGACGTGTTTGCTGGTACCTTGGATGACCTCTGCATTAAAAACTGGTTGTTTGCTCAGAAGGAGGACATGGGCAGAGTGAACACTTAGAGCGTCATATTCTGCACGTTGAATTCTGGTTAATTGCCCGTCTCTCCTGCTACAAGACAATGTCTTGCTCAGTTTCAGCTCCCAGTGCCCACCCAGCACAGTGCCTCGAATAAAGAGACACTTTGTTAGCTAAACTGAAATGAATTGTTAAGAATGCACCACAGAGTAAGCGCCTGAATTTAGAATTACCAGAAAAAAGGAGAGAAGAGGAAATTGCACTGGAGTCCTGATAAACTTAATCTAATTCATATTTATAAGTACAGAGATCCTGTCAGCATTGATGGTCTAATGGATGAATTGGGGAGATATTCTGGGGCAGAGATAACACCCCTGCTCCTTGTCTATATGTCCCTTTCCATACTTACCAAACCCCTTTGTACCTGTCTCAGGTAGGAAAACACATGATATCAGTACACTTGAAATTCTCTACCCATGAATTTCCCTACTTACACATCTTCATAAGGTGCAGGGAATTGCAAATATTTAAGAAAACAAAATATTCAGTGCATATCTCTACTGGAGCCTTCATCACTTTGGATTATGGTTACTTTTTTCCCTCGAAACTATGTATTTATTTATTTATTCAACAAAATAGTGTGCAGTAAGCTTCCAGAGATAATTTCCTATTTACAACTTTTGATTCATCAACTCAAGAAGCTAAGAATTAATTCTGGAATTCTTTGGAAAAGTTACACCAATTAAGTACCTGGCTCACATTCTAAGAAATGCCTTTGTGGTTTGTTTTGTTTTGTTTCAGTGTCTATCCACTTAAATATATATTTTTTTTATCGAAGTGTAGTCAGTTTACAATTTCTGGTGTACAGCATGGATTATGTTTATTATTGGTTAAAATTTCTTTCTCCCCAGCCTGCCTCAGCTCCTTAAGAGCAGAAGCACCTTACATTTCAAAACGTGACTAGAAATGGGATCGTTTTTCACAGTAAGGGTAACTGGTACCTCTTCTAATAGGGATGGCTGGCCGCTTCATTTCTTGTTCTTTCTTGTCATTAAAGAGTTCTGTTCTCAGAGAGGAAACAATATGTGCTCTTTGATGTGGTTCAGGAAAAAAAAGAGACCAAGACCACATATTAAAATGTTTTGTAGAAGAGCATCCTGGAGCCATTCTTCAGAAGAAAGAGCTCGCAGACAGAGCTGCAGCTGAGATGAGAAGTCTTTCGAGCACTTGGAGAATTTCTGACTCTGGAGGAACTCTCTCATTTAAGAAAACACAAAAGCAAATAACGGAAAATGCAGACATAATTATTCTCACTCGGAAGGGAATAACTTTCCAACCCAAGTGAATCTTTACTTTGAGGATATGCCAGAAGCTGAAGACAGCAAATCAAGCACTGAATTAGAAACACACTCTTCTCCTACAAAGGCAGGTTCCAGACATGGTTCTGGAAGTTTCCACATTTTTATACAATTGAAGTTTCTGCTCCATAGGATTCACGTCTTCTGCTTCCTTCTTTACTCCTCCTTTCTCGTCCTCCTCAGAGAGACAGACAGACAAACACAGACAGAGTCAGAAATAAACACAAAAAACAGAGACCTGAAGATACAGAGGGAAAAAGATTTTCTTTCCATTACAACATGTTTTAAAAATAGCTCTCAGGACCTGCTGAGAGAAATGGACCATAATAAAAGAGGTCAATTTTCCTGTCAAATGAGTTTTATGGTATTGCTGTATTTCTGGAAGAAATTCAAGCATCAGTCTTTGAACAGTGTATCAGTGGAGGTTTTTTGATAGAAAGCAATAGAAATTGACTCATGAACTTATAAGGCAAAAAGGAGGAGGTTACTTGAATGATCCTGGGCAGCTCACAGAAATGAAAGCAGGAACCCGGGCGGATCTGGGAAGCACAGTGGCAGAGGCTCAGAGGAGCTTCTATTGGAGATCTTGTTGGCAGATGATTCAAATCCCCAGGAAAAGGAACCTGATTGGTTTGCCTTTATCACCTGCCCACCTCCTGTGGCCAGGCACAGCCCAGTCAGTCTGATACTAGACAAGGGTGTGGGAAGTTGGGAAATATGCTAAGTGGACAGTAACAGCTGTCCCCTAAACACCCAGTAATTGACCCCCATGAATATTTGATCTGGAGTAAACAGAAATGCTACATTCAGATGCTATCACAGCTTATGACTTCGCTCTTCATGAAACCAAGCAGAAGTCTGATTAGCATTCGGACCAGACAAAAAAGTTTTCACGTAAGTTCCTGTGAGGCTGAGTGGGTACTGAACCTGTTCCAGCCTCCTGGATGCCTATCTTTTTTTTTTTTAAACTGGTCATTTAAAAAGCTGTGTGCCAATATCTGTACACCCATACTCACAGCAGCATTATTCACAATAGCTAAAAAGCTGGGTGCAACTCAAGCATCCATGGGTGGATGAATGGATAAACACAATGCGGTATATGCATACAATGGAACAGCCTTAAAAGGGAAGGAAATTCTGACACATGCCACGACATTATACCAGGTGAAATCAGCCTGTCACCAAAGGACAAAGATTGTATGATTCCACTTACATGAAGTACCTAAAGTAGTCAGATTCATAGACATAGAAAGTAGAATGATGGTTGCCAGGTGGTGGGAGTTGGGGGAATGGGGAGTTGTAGTTTAATGGGTACAGAGTTTCAGTTTGGCGAGACTAAAAGAGCTCTGCAGAGAGAAAGAGGGTGGTGATGGTTACACAATAATGTGAACATACTTACCGCCACTGAGCTGTGTGTTTCCAAATGGTCAAAATAGGAAATTTTATATTATGTATAGCTTACTACAGTTGGAAGAAAGAAAAAAGCAGTATCTGAGAGTAGAGATTCCAGCAGACAAATAAGGAGGGAAAAGGGGAGGGGAAATCAAAGACTTTATTTCTAAATAGATTCCTTTTTCCGTGGCTTTCCGCAGTGGGTTGGCTTGATTGGTTCCAAGTGTTGTACTTAATTGTTCTTTACAGAATAAAAAATTCCTGAGTTTGAAAGAAATTTCAAAGCCAGAAAATGACTTCTTTTTTATGTATGTGACAAGTCGAGCTGGTAATCCAAGCCCCCTGCCACTGACACAGGCTTTCTTTACGGAATTGCTCTGCAGAGCCCAGGGGAAAAAAATTAAAACTTTATGGCCAAGAGCACTAGCTCATTTCCTTTCTAAACTAACCTTGTGAAAGGCCACCCAGGCAGGCTCGAGCAGACAGAGCAAGACTTCACTGTAAACTAAAGCAATCTATTTCTAATTCCTCCACGATGAAAAAGCAAAACAACAAAAGTGCAAAACAGAAAGGAATACAATGTAAGTGCATCACAACTGCTGGTTGCCACCTTCATAATTTACAATGGTGAAGTACTGAGGTTATCAATAGCCTTTCATGTGGCTAGCTTCAAAATGTTATTTATGACCCTCTCCAGACCGTGGCTTTCGGGTTTGTTCAGTTGACCTCCCCACTTACTTGGTCCTTCTTCTGCACAGAGGCCCTCCCCCGCCTGTTCTGTAACTATCCACCTCTATCGAGACCTTTTCCTGAAAGTCTTTCTATAAAAAGCATTTTCTAGGAAGTCTCCCTGAACATCTTCAGCTCTCTTTCTCCAGTGAATGGCTATGACACGAATTACTACTTTTTTTCATGATGAAGAGAACTTTGGGCTCTAAAGGAGTCATTTTCAAAAAGTTAAAAACCTGACGCCCGGACAAATATAGACTGAACACATGTCAGTTATGTATGTAACTAATGAGGGTGCCAGGCAGATGAGAGAGCTGATTTCAAAAGAGAATTCAATGCACAGAGAGGTCTAGGTAGTCAGACGGGAAAGGCGTCCTAAAATAACTTTCCTGAGTTACAGACAAAACTGGTTAATGTCTTATAAGGCAGGAAAACTGTAACCTTTGGCATTATCTTCAGTCCTGGAAATCTGCGAGGTAACATATATATTCAGGGAATCTGGGCCTTAGTCATGAGTAAATAGAAGCAGAAACAAAGGTATATCTCTTAGGGGATTAAACAAACTTTGGGTGGGCCTTGGGCTAGTCAATGCTCCCATATGAAATTTTTTTTTTTAAATAGCAAAAATTTATTTTCTCACATATCTTGGATTAGAAGTCCAATGTCAGGGATTCAGCCAGCTCAGTTATTGGCGAGGGCTCTTTTCCTGGCTAGCAGACAGTTGCCTTCTCTCTGCGTCCTCACATGATCTTTCCTTGGTGTACACTGGCAGGCCCAGGCTCACTCTGTCCACCACTCGCGCCTCCTTCCAGCATCAGACAGCACACTGCTCTTCAGATCTCCTCTTTTACCTGCGAGTCTTGGTGGTCTCCCAGGGAGGCCTGGGGCGACTGTGGCTTGCCCTGGGAACACAGACATGGGGGCAGACATTGGGGGATGTTCAGCGAAATGAATTCTC